GCAATTTTGCCAAACGATCATCGACGCTGGCAGCTGTGCCCACTAGTTTCCTTTTTTCTTCTACAAAGTATCATTTCCTTTCTTCTGGAGTCTTACCCGGTAAAGTACGAGGTTACGCGGTGGAGAGTTAGGCTAGGGCGACGAGGAAAGCAAAAGAGGCATGCGAAAACGAAAGGGTAACCATAATAATAAGCTCACATTGTTTAGCTAATTACCAACCTAAATCCAGAGGTAGGTTAGCTTGTTCAGGCTACCCTTCTTCTTCTTCCCGGGGCACATTTCTTGGGAGGAAGGGAGCCTGGAGTGGGCCGGAGGTGTAGAGATATAGTAGTGCTATGGACGGAGTAGTAGGGGGACGGGTGCAGACGCCGGCGCGCACGCACACGCTGATAAACATTATTATCTGCATTCGAGGGATACAGACTTGAATATGCACGCAGACGAACAGGCGCAGTGGTTTAAGGTCCAATTATTAGGTCGAGAATCTTGCTTTGACACCCGCCGATCGTGCGACTTGATCCAACCGATTTCCATCGACATATATACTTTTCCATCGACTACCTTGGTTGAGGGTTGGAGAGCTCAATGAATGCATGTACTGTATACAGTAGAACTGTAAACCCTCCTAAAATGAGGCTTTTACTTCCATACATGGAACCATTCACCGTGATTCTCCACCGGAGAAATCATTCATCTAGGTGCTGACCTCTTCAGGCACTGTGATTGATCCAAAGCGGTCCCGGGACCAAATGACCAGAAGATTTTAAACGCCATGCAGATCGGCTCTTTGCTCAACGTCTTCGGGCGACTAAACTCGAGAGGGATATCCGAAATTTTGCGAGGCTTACCGGTAAATAGATTCCTTCAAGCAACCTCCCCCCCATTCTTTCCATGGATGATTCGAGTTGGTCGGGTCATACACAGTTTACTTCATCTAAATACCCCGTAGACACGAGATATCGCATCATCACGGCGGCGGTCTCTCCCCCACTCCCTCCCTCCTCGGATTTTGCTCGGCTGTTTTCACCCACCACGGGGAAATAACGGGGTGCGGAGGAAGAAGCCACCGTCAGAGATTTAAAAAAAGGGTGCTTAGAAGAAGAGAGAGGGAGTGAGACGGCGAAAGGAAAGCCAAAATAAGCTAAATGGGTTGGGATGGAGGAGTCTCTCCGCGTTTACGAGTAGCTTGAACGTTTGCGGTTGCGGTTGCGGTGGTGCCTTGGACTCGCCTAGAAAAGATGAAACCGATTCTTACAACCGCCCATGTGAGAATCCCCAGGGTGTTTAGTCTTGTTGATTCGACCCTTCAGACTCAACCTAAAGACCTAGAACCTGCCAGGTGGGAGCATCACATGATTACACAACGTGGGCTGACAGGCGAGGAGAACCAAACAATAGAGGCAGGCTGTCAGCTAACTCTTTGATTTCTCTCTCACTGTCTCCCCCCTATGTTCATTGCTCTCCCCCTCCATCACGACAGGGTGGGTGGTGATGATTGAGGGACTGATTGACTGATTGATTGATGATAGTGAATCGGGCGGATCTTCTGCATCCCAGTTCCCCGAACCACTTACCTGGAGATCCGCGACGAAGGATCGTAGCTGTGGCGTCTTCAGTCTCTCTGATTATACTTAGTTTGGTAGTCAAGTATGAAAACAACGAATGTTTTATCTCCGAGGATTTTTTGTTGTCAATTCGTAATTTTTTTTGCAGGGCCCCGTGACGTGAAAAAAAAAAAATAAAAAAGGGGGGGCGCGTTAATAAGAAGCCTAAACCAGATAGCCGGGTAATCTAAACACCAGATCATATCTATAGAACGCCTGATAGTAATAGTATTGATGTCGTTGGTGCTACACAATCATTCCTCCCCTGTCCCTGGGGATATCCATGTTGGGCTCTTATCATCGTCGTCACTAATGACGAGAGGATTGACAGCTGGCAACCCTCCTATCTTGTGACTATGGCTTGGGTCGGGAGGGAAAGTGGAATGAAGCCACCGTGATACTCGACGTATCTGTCGCTATTTGATACAGACACAGACACACACACACACACATATCAGCTCACCAATTCGAGAGGGCTCTTTTTGTTCGAATAGATCAATGTCAAGTAGATACGTCGGGGTCGGTGTTTGGCATTTTGACGATGCCTCAGGCTCGTGTGTAGTAACTTTTGAGCCCACATGATCTAAGTGTATGTACCCGTACTCCGGGGTTCTCCAATGCCTGAAGACAAACCAGGAGCAGAGAATGGAGAAAGAGAACATTCTAACCCCGGCATTGACACATATTTGCTGCAGACTGCAAGAGGGGATAGAAACAACAATATCACTTCCACCAGAAGAAGATAAGGTCAGTGCTATTTAGGTAGGTAAGACGATCAGCTAGATCGGAACCGCGGCGCTCTTCCCCGGTATGCGACTCCGCCTGGGGGCATTTGAGATACTACATACCACCGGCAAATACTTGCAGAGTACGTATTGCGCGGCGTACCAGCAAGGTAGTTCGAGGCGGGGAGGGGGGTTGTGCTCAGGCCATTTCAGCCAGAATGATTGTTCCAGGATACATTGATAGATCATATGGCATGGCGATGTTTTTTTTTTCTGTCGTTTTTGTTGTTGTTTGAAACAAAATAACATACGGAGAGAGACTGAATGGAATAAGAAGATCAGGCAGAGATGCCTCGGGATCAGATCGAGGCCAACTACGAAACCAGCTACCGACGATATTGGCTCATCTTCGGGAATGAAAACGTGGCTAGACCCAAGTGTCAAGGGTAGAAGGTCCACGGGTCGTTGAAAGCATTATCTCGCTGGACATGCACCCAAAACTAGGTCCGTGGCGAAAGTAGTCGACAAAACAGTGACAGTCAGCAGACACCAACAAAATGGCCACCGAAGAGGGCAGGTGAGAGATGAACTGTCAAATGCCCCTGATGAGGCGAGAAATGGATTTAGGCAGTAAGTGCCTAGAATTGACAGCGACAGGGGGGGGGGGGACGTAGATGTGTGGGAAGGAGGGAAGGGGACATTGAAAGGGATTGAAGGGGACTAGAAGCAATGATGGAAGTGGCTATATTCATTAGGTCTATCAATAGTGGCACTACTGGTACTGTAGGCGAGTTGACAAGTGCGGAGTGATATCAGCAGTATCTTGTCTAAGCCAATCGTTCGGGATCCATTTTTGGGGGAAGTCAAGTGACCCGACGGAATTGACGGGGTTGAACTCATCCAATGTAAGTTAATGATGTATATTCGGTACTCCGTAGTTAGGTAGGTCTGTTAGTGAACGGAGGTTTCTCTTGCGGCCTTAGTCAGCGGTCAAGCTGGTCACAGGACAAGGTGATCTTTGTTCTGAACGTTTGTCTAGAACATCCCCTGCGCGGTGAGTGCTTTGCTGATTGTGATACGTAATGCAGGCACCTTGGATTGATTTGTATACTATGAGAAGGTATTGAAATATCTTTCCTGGCAGGAATACCTGCCTCTAACGCTTGAGAAGGTATGTCTGGAAGGTGGGAGAGTCTTCCTTCATACTTCATCCGGTACCAAATTTAGCGAGAGTCTCAAGCCTCAAATCGGTTGCATCAAGTACAAACAAGTACTGGTCACTGGTACGTATCAGTACTTGAGGAAAGCAGAGAGAAGCCGCCGCCGCGTTCACCGGCCAAAGTTACCCTTCTGGTGGAGGAATTGAGTATCATTCCGAGGTCCTTTACAAAAGGGTACTAGGTAACAAGTTCGTACTTTGTTTTCGTAGACCCACTCCGGAAACAGACCGGTAAATTTACACTAGTCATGACAATGTATGAAATACCAGACGCCCTGCGGGGGTACTCCGGAAGTACCACCATCACCATTCCAAGAATGGAAAAATGCAAGAAAATAAAAAGGAAAAGGAAAAAAAGAGAAAATCTATTTTCTCTTCCGAAATTATCAGAAAAAACAATCACACACACATTCACACACGCCCACCCACCTGGCCTACTCGGTACTCTCCCGCTCTCTCCATACATAGGTTCCGGACCACGGAAATGGAGGGAGGAAGAAGAAGGAGGCGCGGCTAGGATCCCTTTCCTGTACATACGGTACGTACACTCACTCTTCTTCTCTCTTACCGCCATCCCCATTGAAACAATTCCTTTCCCTCGGTACTTACTGTACACCCTTCATCGGACTTTTCTTTCCCTGTGGCCACCGTCACACTTCCCCCATATTTCCATACTTTCCACATTTTCCCATAATTTTTATTTCCTTCGATTTTCCCCTTGTACCATTACCATTTCATAACGAATTACTGTTCTCTCCCACGCCCTCCTCTTCCTCCCCTCCCCCCCCGTCCCATAATCTCAAAGTCTCCACCGACCCATCGTTTTACTATCTTCCCTTTCCTCATTTTTCTCGCCCGCTCCACCGCGTACTAAGTTTCTCCTCCCCCATATTCCTACGGTCGATTTTTTCCCTTCTCTCTTTTCTCTCTTCATTCCCTCCACGCCTCTCTTCGACAACCTCGCACCTTCCCCCCATAATCGACACATCCTCCCCTCTAGACCGGCGGCTCCTTTCGCGAATCTCCAATTCTCGTCCCCAATTGCTTCGACTATTCGTCGTTGCCGGTCTCTACCTTTCTGCCTCGACTATACCTGGACGGGAAAGAGGATTACCACCCTGTGGCAGACTCTCCATCCGAACTCGACTCCGACCGTGCATCTCGCGCCTGACCATAACCCGCACCACAATCGCTGATCTCTAGATCCGCTGCTTCTTCGACAGGCAGCTGGGGTGCCATCAGTTGCTCAATTGACATCTCTGCAATCTGATTGCGGACTTCCGTACCGAGAAACTCGATCCCATCGACATCGTGGAGGATCAGGGAGCTTTAATTCGCTACACTTCGCGCCGTACGACCACGCTCGGGGGAGACGGCGACCCCGAAAGTCCCTGGACGGAACAAGTAACACCTCTCAACTTGCACCAAATTCGAAATTGTGGCGTCGTTAAAATGCCTTCGCGTTTATCAACCCCCGTTCTGACAGTGGATACGGCCAAAATCCACAAGGTCGACACCGCCAATGCACAGAGCTTACATGGAATGTGGATGGGTAAGCATTGTCGGCTTTTGCAATCAGTCTACTGTGTGATGGCTGACTAGGATCTTCTCGCCAGTGTTCTCGAAATGCGCCGACTACATGGAAGAAGGACGTCGACTTGAGAATCTCAGCTGGAGACTCTGGACCCGCGAGACATTCTGCGTGGAACCGGAGACTAGCAGCGATACCTCGGTTTTGCCACTCCTCCGCACGGACACTTCGGACATGCCAGAACTTTCCGCCAGTGTCGAATCTGCCGCGTCCGACCAAGCTGACAGGATTGAACAGCACATCAAGCGGTCGAAGCTTGATCTCAAGCCTGCAGTTGTTCGTGAGGATTCAAGCCCTCTCTTGAGTCTGGCTCGTGGAAAAGAGAAGCATATCACATCCGAGGGTTTGGAACGCATGGTGCTGAACATCAAGGAGAAGAAGAGCTTGGAGCCTATTCCTCCCCAATCGATGACCACCCCTTTCCCTCCCGTTGTGGATATTACCCCACGCCCGGCCACTCCCACTCCTTCCTCCCCTACCGTCTCTACCGCGAAGCGGACGCCCTCACCGCCACCATATCCTCTTCACCAACAGCAGAACCAGTCCACGGAGTCGTGCTCCACTACAGCGCCCGAGGGCAACGAAAGCGACAACAGTGCCTGCGCTGCTGCTTCCGACACCAGTGTTTCTTCTTCCGGCATTATTCCTATGAGATGTGAATTGATCAAGTCCCCGAGCATCATCCGCGGATTCTCTCCTTCGCTTATATCCTCATCCTACCGATCGCAGCCGAGATTGGCACCCGAGCCTGGACCAGCCAAGCAATCGGGACAGCTTAAGCCTATGCCTTTCAAGAAAAAGGGCGGCATGTTCACACTTGGAGGCTCTTCTGGAGACGACGAGAGCTCCTTTGAAGATCGTATCACGATGCAAGGTCCTCACCGGAGCTCCCTATCGGATGAATTAAGCAAGCCGTCCTCCTCGAACAATCAAAGTCCAAAGAAGAAGGTGGCGTCCTTCAGAGATGAGAACGGAATTATCAAGCCCACTCGGGAACGGCTCGAGGAACATGAGGACGCTATCGAGACCGACGACGAAGTCTCTGAGAGCGCCATCGAGGATGACTCTGATTCTGATTGGGAGGATTCGGTCACCGAAAGTGGCCGGTCTAGTGTTGAGGAGCGCGAGCTTTTCCAGCGAGTCGATTCTCGGCCAAACCTCGTCTCCCGTCGGTCGATGCTGACCATGATGATGCATCAACCCACCAAAATGGGCGCAGCATCCCGGTCCACCCCGGCTCTTCAGCGGTCCCGCCTCACTTCACCCAACGGCCCCTCGATCCCGGCTTCACCGCCCGACGACGACGAGGAGAGTCTTACGATGCGCGGCCCCGATGTTCCTCGTTCCAAGCCGATTGTCATGAAGCCTACGTCTCAAGCCATCGCTCATTCGCCCCGCACGACTCGTCGGAACATGCTGGCTACTGAGTTGACGGAATCTCTCCGTCGCCACTTGCTGTGGGAGCGTCAGCAGAAGAGCGCCACCGCGAATGCCTTTTTAAAGCGACGCCACACCGCCCATGATATGGCCAATCTGCAAGAGTATCCTGGTCCCCAGGGCGCCCAGAAGGGTCAAACCTCGGGCCAAAATGCAGGTCCCACAACCAAACCTACCAGCCAAGGGAAGGATAAGACCGGCTCTTGGAATCACTACACCGACTTTGGACCTTGGGAATACCATGTTAAGGGATGGTAAACACTCCCCTTGGGTCTTGCAATCGCTATACCTCGACCTTCGATTATCCTTGACTTTCGTGTCATAGCACGTCCTCTTATCTGGTGGATATTGTTCATTGACAGTGATACCCGATCATCGAACGCTTTTTTTGTGTTTTTGTTTTTTTGTTTTGTTTTCACTTCACCATGTAAAGACCATCGATTGATTATCATCCTTGTGACACGTACCATCACGACTGCATTGCATATTGGCGCACTTCGGAATCATCTCTGGCCTTGTGTTTCGACCTGAACATTTTCTCTTTCGGGTCATTGCTATTCTACTTTTGCTATCTTTACATTGCATTGTGTGGCTGTCTGCTATCCTTCTACACGGGCCACTGGGGGGATCAAGCGTCTTTTACACAATTAATCTTGTTGTACAGATGAACTTCTCTTCTACGGCGATACACAGTCGGCAGAGACACCTTTAAAAAAAGGGTCTCCACTTTTCTTCAACTCTTATGATGCTTTGGGTGGAATTGATGCGCGAGCGGTCCATTGGATTCGTCTTCATCTTTGATCCAGGCGGCGGAACAAAAAAACTGAATTGCGTTTTTGCATACCTTGAAATAGCCCGTTTGTTGATTTTTTTTACGCCTCGCTGATACCAGATACCACGTTCCCCGAATTCTCTTTGCACAGTGGCCGACTCTTGAGTCGGCCTGCACATGTCGTGTACGCTACTTGATACTATTTTTTTCTCATCTACTCAACCGCTGTGTACGGAGGAAGCTCCAAAAAAAAAGAAGCAAAATTTGGAATAAAAATTCATAACAAAGAAGAGCAACATATCCGAGAAGTAAGACATTGGCGTCGTATGTTTATGAGGAGAGACCACACAAGAATGCCATTGTTTGGATGAGGTGGTTAAATTTACTAGGTAAGTAGAAATAGACAAGGCATTAGGTAAGTCAGTCCGTATCCATCATTTTTCTCCCCCCCTCCTTCCTGGGGGCACAGACCTGGCCAGCAGGCCAGCTACCTATACTCACGTATACTATTCGGTGTTCTTCAAACCGCCCACTCTCATTCAGGCAGGTAAGGAGAGGTCGGAACCTAGACCAGCATAAGTTCCTACCGCGTTAGCATATTACTATGTAGCTAGCTGAGAGAAAAAGAGGGGCCAGACGGGCCAGGCGGGTTGTGTTCTAGCCATCCAGCCATCGCAGCCTACATCTAGACACAAGATCAAAGCTCCTCTCCCTTGCCTTGTCTTATACCTATGCGTACTGATTATTATACGTACTCGTAGTAGTACTCCGTACGTACCTACTCAGGACTTGCTGGATTTGCTGGATTTGCCCTACGACCGTAGACATATATCCCTGTCACAGTCTAGAATCCGCACAGATCGCTTCTTCACATGCAATGCCGGGCGGGCGCGCCTCCCCTGTCGCCTCGCCGATATTACGATCCCACCATCTTTTTTTTTGGTTCTATATTTCTAGGCGATATTCTCAAAAGATTTTCCTTCTGCAAATAACAAGGAACGGGAAAATGGGAAAGGAGGGTGTGGGATAAGTGGTTATGAATGGAATGAGAGGGAGAGGAGGGGCGGGGTTGGGGGGGGGATATACTCGATGTTCATGCTTGGGAGTCAGTTTTATTGAAAGAAAGTTAATCTTCTTTTTTTTCTTTTCGATTTGGTTCTAGGTTGATGGTTCAATTGTTCTGTTCCATGAACCCCCGGAGGTGTTGCCATATTTAGGGATCTCGTTCTACGTTGGGTTTCTACCTTACCCTGGGGAAGTATTGTTCGAGTGTGAGATGTCGAAAGAAAGAAAAACTCGATGATGTGATGAGGGGATGAATGTGTGTGAGTGACTGGAGGCAAATTCGGGGAGGCAGTTGATGAACTGTCATTGACATAAAGGTATGACGGATTCAACGAGAAGGTGAACCACAACCTCAACACACCCTGCAGATCATTCGAGTAAAGTACGTACGGTTGAGCCGGTCGGTGAATCCGCGGAGATGATCGTGTTTTGATTTCCTGGGTCCGGAGGCTTGGGATAAATATAGTAGTGCTTCATGATGACACGGACTGGATACAAATAGTTGACGGAGTGGTTGATGGTATGTCGGTGAAGGTGGTGGATGGTTGTCCGGGAACAAGTATCATCATTGACTTCGATTTTACGAATAGACGTGTTCTTTTGTTCTCTCCTGTCTTGTTTTCTTTCGGAGTCCACGATGAATCTTTGATATGGATGGAAGTCTATCGGATTGTGGTGTGTTACTATATCGGTCGCAGTTCCCAAAGTCTTGGTATATCAGCTGAGGGGAGATGGACCGTGGATTGAATTGAACCCCCTTTTGATATTCGATCCCTTTGCGTCACTACGTCCATGGAGAGATTAGGGGACATGCTGGGGTCGGTTTCTCGGGGAGGAAAAGATCTTGTCTTCCTCATTAGTCAGTTGGGTATTGTGGAATGTGGCAACTGACTTGACACTGACAAGCATGTGCTTGTGCGTGGAGAAGCATATGGGGTAAGAGATACTATGTAAGTTGTTGCGGACGGAGGTTTGGTGGTCCGTGAGTGGTAAGTACTCGAGTAAATCGATACTATTATGACGACCTACTAATCATAGTTACGAAAGTATGCTTGCATTGAGACTTTCGATTCGATTCTTCTGTCGAATATGAGGATACTGACAAGCGATCAATGCAACCACAAGTTCTAGACTCGAGGCATAGGGCGGGAGACAAGTCATCTGCGTGCGTGTTGCATGGAGTAATTCCCGGGGAGCGCACAGAGATCCATTGATCTACCTGGAGCCCACCATCTTTAACTCATCCCTTCTTCCTAACCCGGTAGTTGGGACTGCTCATAGTCATCCATGATAGTCTCATACGTAATTATGTTGTACTGTGTACTGAGTCCTATGCACATAGTGTATAGTGTGTGTGTGTGTATGTGTGTGCAGGTTCCTTCATAAGTTCATAGCTCATAGTTCATAGTTCATAGTGACTTAAGCGGGGGAGCTAAATTTGATGTCCGCGTGCGCACTGACAATCTTGGTTGCTGAAGCACCCATGACGTAACCTGTGATCATTATTAATTGTTCTGCCCTGCAAACCAGTTCAAACACACCGGATCGCTGTCATCCGTTTTCTTGTCTTGAATTGCTGCTCGACTTGATTCAGGTCTCTTGGTCGTAGGGAAGGGTATTCGGTGAATGCATCTTGTCTGTGTTCTGTGTCTGTATAATGATAGATCCACTCAACGTCTGTCCCTCTCTGCTGAGAAATTGACTACCCAATTGAACAATCAAACAATGAGAAAAAGAAACCAAAAAACACAAAAGCAAAAAAAAAAAAACAAGGCACGAAAAGCACAGCGTCGAATCAGAGGGCACAGATTCTCTTCAGGAAGACCCCACGTATTCCTGGATTTCCCGATGGCTCTGCACCAATTAATTGGCAAAGGCACGAGGAGGGGAAGGTCCGATTCTGCCCGAAAACGTGGAGCAGCCGACCGTGCAGCGCTTTGCGGCTGGTTGGGTTTTTTCCCTCTCTTCCCTTCTCTGTCTTCCAGACCAAGCCGGTGGATCCCGAAAACCCCAAGATGAACCACCGAAACCTTAGGCCGAAGGGGAACTTTACCTGATCGGGCTTACCGTCTCGCTGCAAAGGTCGGGGCAGCGCGACTTTCCTCAGCTGGACTCGTTCGCTCCTCCAGTCTTCCTCGAATCTCTCCAGACCTTAACCATATGTCAGTCTCAGAACCAGGTCTTCGCCTTCCATTGCGGGTCAAACTTACCTTACCAAGTGGGTCGTGTCTCTTGAGATCGGGCAGCAAAATGATTCGTAGTCGAGGGGCTCTTCTCCTCACCGGTTACGATGCATCTTGTTATACCATAACACTGTATCAGCCCTGACAAGAATGGTGGTAACCTACTATGTACTGTCGTACTGTACCTCCCTTTGTTCCCTTCTCGGGGGTCCTGGAATCCTGAGTCAGCAACTTTCCGCGACCGGGAGGCCTCGCGGTGTAACTTCATCACAACCTTAATAGACACGAAACAATCTTGTTTTCATCTTGACTTGATCCAAATCACGAGGCCGGAAGTGGAGTGAACAGGCAGTGTGCCCATAATCTAATTGATTCTTCGAAGAAGTGTATGAACTATCCGAAGTCAATTACGTCGTTTCCCACTCTGCCCCTGGCAGAGATGTCATCGCGAACCGGTTCCCTTTACTCCGTACTCTCTTCCTTCCCTTGCAAGGCAGGGAAAAGTCAAGACTCGGACCGACTCCTGCTTTCAGTTCGGCATGCCGATGCACATCATCTCTTCCTGCATTGCAGAATGGGGTATCCTCGGCGCAACCACACCACTGCAACCGCTGCACATACTTTATTTCCTTGTTATCGTCTTCCCTTGGAGACCTTCTAGACCGGGCCGACCAGATGTTTTTTTTTCTTTGCCTCCGACGGAGTACATCGCTCCTTGGGCCCTGAACGCGTGACGGGGTCTCGGAGGTGGCCGCAGCCATCACCAGAAGCCGTATCTCTTTAGCACCGTCACCTCAAACAGAAGTAAAACAGCCGCTCGTTGTGGCAGCACACCGCCGACAAATCAGTTCGCTACCTACTTCACTACCGGGCCGGTCGCGCGTCCTTTCCTGCCGTATCACGTGGCGTAAGATCTCTGAGGTCTGTATTGGCTCCTTCTAGTTTTAACCTTAGTCCTTGCGCGCCCCAATAGGAAATCTTGACACTATACAAGACTTACTCGTACAAGCTAGTGGACTTCTAATTGGAAGCAAGAAGCCCGATTCGAGCGGGCCTATTTTGAGAGTTGGGCAGCATCGTTGGCATCGTCATTCCTCTCGTACCACTCGGTCGGACTTGACTACTGTTCTAGTGTAGCCCACTTACAATCTACACTACACCAGCCACTGGGGTATGCCGCGTTATGTCTAGGTCATTATGGTCATAGCTTGCACAATGGGCTGGTATTGTGGGATGGT